AGATGTGTATAAGAGACAGGTCATAAGCCGGTCGCGCTTCTCTGATAATCTAGGACTCTAATGCTGAGAAAGTTTCTATGTCTCGCATACTTTAGTTAGTGGTACATACTGAGAAACTCCCGCGGTATGTCAGTAAAACATTTATAGTATGAGAACAGTACATCATGTACAGCACGCATATATACATATAGCTTTGCGCGCGCGCGCGCTTCTAAACGCATATTTGGTTAGGTTAGGTTATATATTAATTGGTACTGTGTTTTAAATGCATTAATATATATTTATTTATATAAAATTTTAATCATACAAATATTAGACATTTATAAATTGAATTAACTTCTTAAATTAAATATATATATATTTATAATACTTTTTCAACTCGATATAACACCGGGTAAAAAGTTTTCATACAAGAACATACATAAATAATATATAAATAACATATACAGGGTGTCCCGTAACGCTTAATTAATATTTCAAGGCGTGAAAGAGAATGAAATTTTGAACTAAAAGTTCCTCTTTCAATTTTGGCTCAGACCATTATTTACAGAGTTATTAACGAATAAAGTTAATCAATTAGATCGCGCTTAGCCGGAGTATGCAGGAGCGTAGCGTGCCGTACGTGCGGCTCTTCGCGCTTACTTCACAGGAGAATGTATGTGAAGTGAGCGCGAAAAGCCGCACATACGGCACGCTACGCTCCTGCATACTCCGGCTAAGCGCGATCTAATTGATTAACTTTATTCGTTAATAACTCTGTAAATAATGGTCTGAGCCAAAATTGAAAGAGGAACTTTTAGTTCAAAATTTCATTCTCTTTCACGCCATAAAATATTAATTAAGCGTTACGGGACACCCTGTATACGCGATAATGCCCACCCGCTGTCACGTTCTTGAAATTCTTCCAGCGACGCTAAGGTAGGCTCAACAACGCGCGAATCGTACCACACGCGTAAATCGGAGCAAAGATAGAGTTCACAGTTTCTCGTATTAATACTTTTATTATCACGTTTATCACCCGTTACGAATTCACCGTTGAATACAGTGTTTATCTTAATGTTATTATGTGTCTGCATAACATTTCGCAAACGTTCGAGCACAATTTCTCGCGCATCTTCCAGAAACTGTCGAGGCTCAATGTGTCTGGAATTTATTACTGCACCGGTCAGTATACGACTGTTGAAAGCTGCATCTATCTCACGCCATCAGAGTCCAGCACTGAATCCTGCACCCACATGCACGAATCGTCCGCGCACCGAATATTTCAAACTTTCCAGTCGCGCGATACGAGCGATGACAGATTGTCTCACACCGATCGATAATCGTGGATTTCGACTCTGCTCATCGAGCAAATCGATGA